GGGCCGGGGCCGCCGCAGCCGCGGCAGGACGGGGAGGCGGGCCATGGCATCCTGCGTGGGGACCCGGACCCTGAGCAAGGATGATGTGAACTACAAAATGCATTTCCGGATGATCAACGAGCAGCAAGTGGAGGACATCACCATCGACTTCTTCTACCGACCGCATACCATCACCCTGCTCAGCTTTACCATCGTCAGCCTCATGTACTTTGCCTTCACCAGGTGAGGCGGGCCCGGCCGCGCTGGGGACACGCCCGAGGGCGGAGGGTTAAGCGGGAGGGAGATGGTGAGCAGGGTGGCTCGGTGCGGCTCTGGGGCGACGAAGCGGGCTGCCTGCTCCACGCACCACTCAGCCCCGCCGCCCATGCCCGGTGTCTCGCAGCGCGCCCAGCCTGCTCCCCAACCCCCACCTCTAACCCTTACAGCGCCTCTGGCCCCACTGGGAACTCGCGGGTCACCTAGCATGATCTCTCCCTCACATCACCACACAGGCCCCCTCTGCAGCCCCTCGGCCCCCCGTCCCTACTCAGCACACCGCATGAATCATCTCGTGTGTATCACTTTCAGCACAAGCCACTACACATAAAGCAGCCAATCCACAGTGCTTGCACCCACCGTGCACAGGCCCAGGATACCACCTAGATTTACCCTTTCCGTGGAACTCCTGCTGTGTTCGGCACTACCCGCCATGCACAAAAAAGGCTATGCGAGGTTTCCGTGCTGCACTTCCCACATACACTGCACGCAAATCATCTAGCATAATGCTTCCCCCCACCCTCAAACGCTACCATGATGTACCGCAGCAGAAACTGCTGTTCTAACTAGAACCCACATCACAGCCGACCTTTCCATCCAGCACAGCCCAGTACCCATCACCTCCGGTGGAGTTTGCTGCACAAACATCACACATCACAGCCCACACCCTGCTTGTTCATCGCCTGCTGAAATGGGATCCCGTCAAGCAGTTATAATGTTGCCTGATGCATAGTAAACACTCATGTTTGTTCAATAAAACACATAACCCCCACACAAACATAACACAACTCTTTTTCCTCCGAGAAGGTACACACGTGTTCAAAACATTTCCTGTTCATAGGAACTGCCCAGCCCAACCTTTAAAAACTCGCATCTTGTAGCTCTAGAGCCCTGCATCTGTGGTCCTTCAGGCCCAACCCCAGGGAATGAATTCATTCTGGGTTCGCAATAACAGACCATGGTTCCTACTCACAAGCATTTATTTTTTCTGAATGAACTAATTTAAAGAAAGGATAGTCATACCTATCACACCATGATGGCTAAAAGACTAATCTAGAGTAGTGCAGTTTTGGAAAACGTTGGGAGTTTTTCGTTTTGTTTTATTTTTATGAAACGGGAGTCTCACCGTATTGCTCAGGATGGCTTCGAACCTGTGATCCTCCTGTCTTAACTTCCCAAGTAGTTGGTAGACTATTGATCTTACATGTTACTTAGCCTTCTTCTGAACCTTGGGGTCCACACCTGCAAAATGCAGATAAAATATGTACTTACCTCCTACAGGGTTGGGAATGACTAAGTGAATGCGAGTGAATATTTTTAGCAGAGTACCTGATGCATGTTGTACAATTAATGCCAGCCTCCCGGTATTTTACCCAACATTCAACGTGTAAATAGGAAATGTGTAAAGGTATATTTGGTGATCTCTTAATACCAGATAACTTCTGGTATTAAGTAGAGGGGAGAGTTAAAGGATACTAATTTGTTGTGACCTATGGGACAGCTTGTATAACAAAGAATGACTTGTACCCTACACACACACACACACACACACACACACACATACACACATGCCAGGGTGCCTTTGGGAATCACTGCACTTTGAGATTTTTTGTGTGACCAGTATCCCTCCATATCACACTTGTTCGTACCTCCACTTGACTCTTGGTTCTTATTATGTAAGTGTTTATCCATTTGTATGACTCTACCTAAAGGTTTAAGGTATTGGTAACAATTATGTACATTTTAATAATTGAAGGACACTGCTACTCTTATTGTAAAGTCTGGGAATACTGTGCAGTAGGGCAGGACCAGAGCTTTCCATAATATCTGACCAGATGTATTTTTGGCTTTGGAGAAAAATCTATCTTGCCCCTAATTATGGTTATCTTTGAATACTTTATCATGTCTTCTGATTTTACCATTTCACAACTGTGTGACCACTTAATTTTGCTAAGCCTCAGTTTTCTTATCTGTATGTAAAATGAAAATACCAACACTACTACCTCATAGGATTCTCCACAATAAGGATTAAGTTCAACTTTGCAGATGATCTATTTAGTGTATGGCAGATACTAAGTGTGCAATCAACATTAGTTATTACATAATTTTATCAGAAGCTAATGCCTTCCAAATTATATTTGTTTATTGAATGAGGATGTGGTATGCTCTGAGAAAAAAATATTAAAACATTTAAAAAAAAAAAAAGGTTACTGGATAATGTACATACTCATTTCATAGTAACTTCATTTTAAGTGTGGGTTCTCAATGATTGCATTACCGAGGGAGTTTCTTTGGGAATTAGAAAAGTAATTATGGTATTTTATTTTAAATAATGAGAACCAAGAATGAGCAGCTTATTTCAACATTTTTATCTTTTATATTATTCTAGGCCCTTTCAAAATATTTCTTTCTTCCTCTTTTCTAATCCAGAAAGTCATACTGTTCTGAAATTCCTCCTTTATACCATATCCTGCGAAGGCAATTGATAAACTGCAGCAGTGAAAGTTAACAGCTTCTCGAAAGTAACAGAAGAGTCATAATCTGAAGCTTAGGCTATGACCTTTTCTAAAAACTGTAACAATTTTTGTTTTACTTAAAATGTACCAGGTGTGTGGGGCCGGCAGGTGGCATGGTGGTTAAGGGTGCTCGACTCCCACATGGCTGACTGCAGTTCAAATCCTGGACCTGGTGGCTTGCTCTCTGATACTCTCTCTCTTTCTCACTCTCTCCCTCTCTGGTTAAATTAAAATAAATAAAATAAATGGATAAAGTTAAATAAAGTAATTTTTTAAAAAAATTAAAACTTGCCAGGTATGTGTGCTAAGCAGAGAGAGATGGGAATGGGGTGGGTGAGAAAGCACCTTCATGGGGGAAGGTCACACCACAACACTGCAGTCCTTTCTCCTCTGTTTCTCTCTTCTTTTGGGATTAAATTTTAACAATGTAATTTCACCTACTAATTTCATAAATAGACAGAAATCACATAATGAAAAGCATTGATAACAAGTCTCACCTTATATAAAATCATAAACACCATTAATAGAATTAGTACTTTTTATATCTTATTCATTTTCATAATGATTTCTGACCCTTTTTAGGTGGTACACTGCAATGAGAACTGTCTCCTCCTCCATAAAGAGTGAAAGTAATGACTTTGTGAACTTTATATATTCTCCCCTCTTTTATAATGATTATCTGAAGCACTTTACATTTATTTTACAAGGATTTGGGTTGGTTAACTGTTCATTCAGTTCTTTCAATAAAACATTTTAAAACGGTCTTGAATCTTGTTTTGCAAAGACTAGTTGTCTAAGAGGAAAGAGAGAATTCTTTGGGTTTACCATATTACCACTATGTGACAAACAGTACCTGAATAGTGTCACGTGCTACAGAGAACCAGCGAGAAGGTAGGATTACGAAGGAGTAGAGACAAGTTTGGATTTGTTAAGTAGTTCTTTTGTTAGACAGCAGCTAGGCTAACTTACTTTTTTTTAGTTTACTAGAGGGCTTGTACACTTTAGAGAGAGAGAGAGAGAAAGTGAAAAAGCACACCACAGGGAAGCCAGCCATGCTGCAATCCCATCTCCATTTCTCCTTCCAGGATTTTGGGCATGGACATAGGCACCTGTCATGTTTCTCAAGCTGCTAGGTCTGGAACTTGAACTGCACAGTAGGCCATATAGATCCAGCTGCCTTAACTTTATACTGCCAACTGGCTCGAATCCACTCACTTTTAAACTACAGTGTTTAAATCTGTCCCCATTACCATCATTAAACACAAATGTCAGATACTACCTAGTTATTTCCCTGAGATCTGAAAAGCTCATTTTACTGCATCTTAGAATAAGTATTTCTATACATTAGATGCTTAGGCATGTCCTGAAAGTTTGTTCAGTGAAAGCAGGGAAAGGAAAACCTTTATCTCAAATTCAGAGTATGTTCATTACTAAGATGCTCTGCCATCAGAGGTGGATGAAGTTGTAAATATTGAATGACCTTGTTTTTAAAAACTAAATTTGGGACCAGCAGGTGGTGTGGTGGTTAAGGCACTGGACTCCCACATGGCCAGCTGTGGTTCAAGCCCTGGACCTGACAACCTGATGTGGGAGCATTTAACAAACAAGCGACTCAACTTTTAGATTTGAAAACATCAAAGTCTATTAAATCACATCCGCAGAAGCCCACTTCTCTTTAAGAGCACCTGCCATTAAACGTGACATCTGTGTGCTCTGGCTCTATAATTGAGGAGTTGCAATATTATGTAATTGACATCAGACCTGTTTAGCACTTGTCCAACAAAAATCTTTACTTATCTAGAGGAGATGGTCTTCCTGTAGTTTGCCATACTAGGAGACAGACAAGGGCAGGGAAGTAGACTTCTTATTTTTTTATTTATTTGTTTGTTTCTTTAAAAAAAATTAATTTCCCTATTGACTTTGGGACTCCAGCTCATCACCCTGTCAGTGGGCTGTCACTTTACTCATGGATTCTTGCCAGCCTTCCCTGTCCTTTCCCTTTCAACCATATAAATCCCCATTAGAAAATGTCTCCTGCTGATTCAGTTGTCCTGGTCTTGTTTCCTTTATGTACATCATGTTCTTTTTCTCGCAATAGCAGAAGCCTTAAATGTCCTTGTGCCCTGACATTAGCAATATTAAGTGAACTCTATAGCAACTGTGTGCTGCGATTATACCAACTCTGGTGGTGAACAAAAGCCCTATGTTGTACCTGAAGTCCAGTTAACGTGGATTTAAATATCTTTTTTTTTTAATCTTTTCTTTTTTATGTTTTATGTCCCTAGTAAGATTATAAACCCATTAAAGGGAAAATCATGCCATATATCTCTTTGGGACCTTCTGTAGCAAATAGGCACTTGAGTGACTCAGTATTTATTTATGTTTGATGGTGTCTTAGGTCAGAGAGATTATATACCAAGGCATTACTGCCTCTTAGACTCCTCTTTTTATTTATTTATTTTTCCTTCGTTTATTTCACACCGTCATCCTTTCCCTGTTTCTCAATTCTGTCTGGATTTGGTGCACGCACTCACACGTATTCAGCATGTTTTTCAACTGTTGGGGCCCACATTTGAACCACGATCATCCATGTGGGATCCATTTCCCTTTTCCCCTGTGCTAGAGGGCCAGCCCCAGGCTCCTCTAGTAAGCAGTTTTCATTCTGTTTGCTCTGTTTGAGTAATTAAGGTTACAGCATTTTAGATATAATTCTATTATCAAACATAACACAATTTATTTTGTGGTATAATCCCCATTGCCCCAGATTTCTGTAGGGAAATTAGCAGTTTTTCAGTCTTAGCTCATCTATAAACCAGGATGAGTTCAGTCAACCTGGGTTACTTTCTCAGCCCGCACGTCCTGTTTAATTCAACTTACTGATCCAACAGCCCCTGTTCCATCTAGCGTGGGTCTCTGCAATCCTGGGATTCCCCATCTGGTTTATCTTTAGCACATCCAATTGGGCTTTCAGAGCATTCAGAGCTGTTCTCATTCCTTTCTCAACCCTAAGTTCCACAAAGCCCCAGCTGTTTGGGACAGCAAGTTCCCAGGGCTCAACTCCATCTCCCTGAAGATGAGCCTCCACTGTTGTCCTCATGTTCTTTTTAAGAGAAAAATTGTCCCATCTGTCCCCCACTTGAAGTCTTTCAACTGGATTACCTGTGGTAAAGCACTAGCTGAGCTCTAAAGTCTTTCTATGGAGAGTAGATCTCTTCCTTCATCTTTTCCCCTCCCCCACTGAACACACCCTGGGTCGGGGCAGACCCGGGCAGACCCAGACAGCTTGCCAGTCCACACCCAGTGCAGGTCCACACCCAGTGCGGCTGTCTCTCAGACCAGGAAGCCCCTCCTGCTCCTCATACCCAGCCAGGAGCCCATGGCATCCATCACAATCCATTTAGATGTTTCTCCTTCGTTCTTCATTGTTCGAAAAAGCATAGAGACAGTAGTGTTTATATAGTTTCAAATACTCTTTATTATTATATTGTAATATTTGTTTCAGTGTAGATTTTTTAAAAGAATTATTTTATTTAACTTTATCCACTTATTCATTTATGTTTTAATTTGACCATAGAGGGACAGAGTTTGAGAGAAAGAGAGGGGAAGTGACCACCATGCCACCTGCCGGCCCCATCAGCGTCGATTTCTTGAGGCCAAATATCTTTTTTTTTTTTTTTTTGAGAGAGAGGATTTTTGCTATAGGGCACGTGCACT